GTCATCATCATCATCATCATCATCATCATCATCATCCTCATCATCATCATCCTCATCATCATCATCATCATCAGCATCATCATCATCATTATTGTCATCAGAGTTTAAGTGGTCGTTGCTCCCACCTGTATATCTAGATATCCTACTTGTAGTGTTTCAAATTCAACAGCACAGCTGTTTGTTATAGGTACAAAAAGGTTTTATTCTTCAAAGTAAATTATATTTCTTCCTACCTGATTCAGTGCTGGCACTTTTGCAGAGAAGTATGTCGGTATGAGGATAGGCCATCGGGTCAATCCTTTTGTATGGATGCGAGAGCCGGACTCTATAAACAAAGACACAGAGAGAAGGTTGGAAGCCGCTGACTCAAAATCTCATGGACAGAGAAGAAAATAGAGAAGTGCTCCAAATGGCAGGTTGTGAAAGATTCAGATAAGTGCCCATCAGAGCAGGTCCGATGGTAGAAAAGAAACAGTTCCGTCACAAAAAGAACATAAAAGAACAACAACAACAGCAGCAGCAACAACAACAACAACAACAACAACAACAACAATAACAAAAACAACAACACCAACAACAGCAATAACAACAATAACAACAACTATTAAGGAGTGCCAAAAATAACCACAAAGATGATGTCAGGTGGGTGTGGGCGTTGTTTCATAATCGCACCATCGCTCACCTAAGTCACCAACAGCTGGGTGTGGACATTTCACTTAGTTCAAGTTTCAATATCCCAAAGCTCACATAACCATGTCAATATCTGACCTGGTCAACTTTATCTTCTGTTTCATCATTTCAAGTTTTTAAGGGGCATACTGTGTTGCTCCTGATCCGGTTTCGAAACGCTGTCACGAAGATATATATTATCCCTGTTGGATTGAGAGTCACGTGACCAGTGATAAACTACAACATCCCAGCTGAGAGAGCTGCAGAGTTGGTCAACAGTAGAAAACTGCATCATTCTTTTTTACACTAGCACGGCGATATATTCATACAGATACTGGAGCAGCTCTGTCCATAAGGCAAGTTGATGATATCGTGATGTTGCAGGACATTAAATACTCGTCCCAGCCATTTCTTCCACAGATCCAGATCCATGTACGTAACCAAACAAAAAGGACAACCAAAAAACCCCCCAAAAAAACTCCAACCTAACAACAACAGCAATAACCCCCCCAAAAAAACAACAACAACCAACGCCCCCTC